TGGCGCCTCACCTAGCTGCTTTCACTTACCAGTATGTCTTAGAGATTGTTTCATGTCAGAGCATGCAGATCCGCCTTGTTTTTCATTTTAACAGGTGCTTAGTAGTCCATTTGGAGCTGCTGGGTGGTGCAAACGGTTAACATGCTCAGCAGCTAACGGAAAGGTTGGAGGTTCAAGAGTTCCCTCAAAGAAAGGCCTGGTAATCTACTTCCAAAGAATCAGCCACTGAAAACTCTACGGAACACAGTTCTACTCTGACACACGTGGGGTCGCCATGAGTCAGGATCTGGTGTTATCCCATTACTCAGATTTACCCAGTTTAATTTGACCAGGCTCCTGCTGACGGACATTCGGGTCGTTTCCATCCTTCTCTTTTTCAATTTAGCCGCAACGACTGTCAGTGAACACTGGAGCATGTGTGTGAGTGTGTCTGCAGGATAAATTCCCAGACAAGCAATTTAAATTTTACTTCATTCCTATCCTCTCCACAAACCTAGGAGGTTGTTCTGGAGAGAGGGGAACTGAGACGGTTGCTGTACTTGACATTCCACCACTTTCTGGACTCTGCTTTCATTGATATTCCTTGTGTCCTTGTCTCTTCTCCCTGCCTGGCTTTGAGCTTCAAGGCCAGGTCCTGTGGCTCCGTCCACCTTTGAGGAAGGAGCAGGGGTCGGGGGTAGGAAGAGAGCCTGCCCTCCCCACTCCTGGCTGGTGATGAGCTGTTTGCCCCTCTGTGCCTCAGTCTCCTCTTGTGCAAATGGAGAGCAACAGTGTCTCTAAACTGACCAGCACGTTCCCCAGAATCACACAGGAGCTCTTGGAGAGTTCCGTCCTTCCCACGCCTTCCTGGGCAGCATCGTACAGAATCGCTCCCAGCAGGGGATCCAACAACGCTGGGTGAGCACCTGCAACGTGCATAAACCAAACCCAACCCGTTGCCTTCAAGGTGATTCCGACTCACAGGGACCATGTAAGACAGACGAGAACTGCTCCATACGGTTTCCAAGGCTGCAATCTTTATGGAAGCTGAGTGCCACACTTCCCTCCTGCGGAGCGGCTAGTGGGTTCAAGGAGCGGCTAGTGGGTTTGAACCGCCGACCTTCTGGTTAGCAGCTGAGTGTTACCAGGGCCCCACAGTGTGCACAGCACCATGTAAGTGCTCAGGCAGAGGGACTTCCTGCAACCTGAGTCAGCCCTGGGGCCTTCACAGAGGATCTGCCAACCAGAGAGCTAGGATGAGGGCTGATGAGGGCTGCTCGGCCCTCAGCTGAGTGGCCCTCTGTGTATAAGCTATTCCTCTTCAATTTGTCATTCCCAGCATAGCAGACCACATGACTGTCTGATTCAAAATGGCCAATACCAGTCCATTTCAGCTCACCAATGCCTAGGATATCGATCTTTGTGTTCCATTTCTTTTTGACGATTTCCAGTTTTCCTAGATTCATACTTCGTACATTCCATGTTCTGATTATTAATGGATGTTTGTAGCTGTTTCTTCTCATTTTGAGTCGTGCCACCTCAGCAAATGAAGGTCCTAAAAGCTTTACTCCATCCACATCATTAAGGTCGACTCTACTTGGAGGAGGCAGCTCTTCCCCAGTCATCTTTTGAGTGCCTTCCAACCTGAGGGGCTCATCTTCCGGCACTGTATCAGACAATGTTCTGCTGCTATTCATAAGGTTTTCACCAGCTAGTTCTTTTCAGAAGTAGACTGCCAGGTCCTTCTTCCTAGTCTGTCTTGGTCTGGAAGTTCAGCTGAAACCTGCCCACCATGGGCGACCGGGCTGGTATTTGAAATACGGGTGGCACAGCTTTGGGCATCACAGCAACATGCAAGCCACCCCACCACGTGCTGACGGACTCGTGATGAACCCCCCCAGAGCATCGCCAACAACAGGACTTGCCTTTCAGAACTGCCGAGAGGGTAGAATAGACAAGAATAGGTGTGATGTGTTTGCACATGTGAGGAGCCCTGGTGGAGCAGTGGTTAAAGCACTTGGCTGCTAACCAAAAGGTTGACAGGTCGAACCCACCAGCCATTCCGTGGGAGAAAAGACCTGGTGATCTTCTCCCATAAAGATTACAGCCTAGGAAACCCTAAAAGACAGTTCTACTCTGCCCTCTAGGATCACTGTGAGTCGGAATTGACTCAATGGTGACAGGTAACCCCTAACTCCAAAGGAAAAAACAAAAAGAAACTTTTTCTTTTTTTTTTTTGGAAGGGAAAAAACCTAGCCTTTAAAGACCAGACTTCATGATGCCCAGGGTAGGGGTGAGGCACTGAGCATCCTCGGGCAGCCTGGGAGATTCCCAAGTGCCAGGGTGCTTCTACTTCCTCACCTAATGCAGGAGAGGGAATTAGCATTTATTGAGTGCCTGCTGTATGCGGCACGCTGTGCCAGATGCTTCCTCACAACAGGGCTGTGGGTGGTGTGAGAATCCCCACTTTGCCGCTGAGGAAAGTCAGGCTCACGGGTTCCACCGCTTGTCCCAGGTCACAGAGCCAGAGAGGACAGACAGATGGGTGAACCAGAACCGGGACAGCCCACACCCTTTCTGCCTGCCTCCCTGCTCTCCCTGCTCTCCCTGCTCTCCCTGCTCTCCCTGCTCAATGGCCCAGGTGCACTTCCCCGAAGATCTGAGGGAGTTCTTACCGTAAGGCACAATGCCTAGCATGAAACCAAACCCAACTCGTGTAGATTTGGCAAAAATCAAATCAGTCCAAAAACATGAAGTTCCTGGGCCCAAGGAACAGCCACGGGCATGAATAGATCAGGAGGTTTTCATTGCCTTTGGGAGGAGGGAGAGGGTGGCTAGCATCAGTCGCTAACTTATAACCACCAGGAACTTGACTACAGTCCGTTCTCCATGGCAGCATATCTGCAAAGATTAAGCCCCTGCAACAAGCTGCATGCAGCTCTAAGTAACAATTCCCTCCCTTTCCGTCTGTCAACCGGCTTGAACCACATGAAACTGGCATTCTTGTAGCTCAGAAGTGGTTGAATATCAGTCAGTTACACTTAAATATTATTGATTGAGATCACAGCACAAGGTTCCTCTCTGTGAAAAAGGGCATTCCAGCCTCGAACAAAGACAGCATACAACTTCCCTGGGGTTGAGAACCCCGTTGTAGCCCCAGTCGGCCCAGACTGGAGAGCCTGGACCACTTCATCCAGAAGGAGCGGCGTGAGATGCAGAGATGTGCCCGTACATAAAGCAGAGGCGGGCAAGAAGCTAAGCCCTGGGTGGGTGGGATACTCTAGCCACTTTGCAGAGGCCCTAATTAACACCCCAACCTCAGCAGGGTGTGAGAACCTCCTTGGGTAGCTAAGTGTGGACTCTGGTTTCGTTGTGGGGAGAGGCAGTGCCAACTCTGAACACACGTGGGTTTCTGAGGGCCTGTCTGCGGTGTCACGTGGAAGGGGCGGTGGCACCCAGAGAACCTGCAGGCTGCCCTGTGGCCTCTGGGGTGAATGAGCAACCAGCCCAGGCTGGGAAGAGACGGAGAATGGGACAGTTTTTACTTCCCAACCTGTGTGGAGACATGTTTTCATTCAATTCCTGCTCAGAAAGACACGGGAGATGGGAATGGTGAGAAAGGCCAGGGCAAAGTGAAGTGCAGGGCTGGTGATGACTGGGTTAGTTAGCCACTCACCACCCAGCCCAGCAGGCTAACTGAGACGGTCTCTGTAGTGCCTCAGTCAGCCCAGCCTCCCGGTTTGCCTGGGACAGAGGGGTTTCCAGGTCCCTGGGTAGTACAAGCAGCTTGTGATCGCTGCTAACCTAAAGGTTGGTGGTTCACGCCCACCCTGAGGCTCCATGGAAGAAAGGCCTGGTGATCTGCTAGCTAGCAAGAAGACCTTGTGGGGCACTTCTACTCTGTGAGTTGGAATCGACTCGCTGGCAACACGTTTGAGGGGTTTCAGGTATGTGAGACTTTCCGTGCAAAAGCCAGGAAAATCCTGGGCAAAGCAGGACAGTTCGTCACCTTGTGGCGCCTGACTCTGTGTCTGAGCTCTGCTACGGAAGGGTTCCAAGAGAAAGAAATGACCTCAGAAAACAAAGAGGGGGCTCCAGGGTATTGGTCTGCCGAGGGCTTGGGGCATGTGTGAGACGGTTCTCTAATAAGGGGCCAGAGGGTGGAGGAGGTGGAAACAGAGGAAGGGGAGAGCATTGGAGAATTGCCTTGGGGAAATTTGAACTAGAAGTGTAAATTATGGCCGCAGCCCCCACCCCTGCTTATGGTTCTCCCTCCCCACATCCACACACTGGTCAAGCTAGCTTTGGGGAGGACTTTTTTTTTTTTGGATAATATTTTATTGTGTTTTTGGTGAAAGTTTACACAACAAACTAGGTTTCGATCTACCAATTCCTGTACAGACTGTTCAGTGACATTGGTTACATTCTTCACAGTGGGTCAGCACTCTCTTGTCTCTGCTCCATGGTTCTGTTTCCACTAATGGCGCATCTCTGGCCCACCTCCCCCTCACCTTCTTGGGAAGACTTGCAAGTCAAAGAAGAAAAGATGGAATTCAAGCTTCAAAGCCTGGATTCGCTTGCAAGCTGAGCCACTCACTGTGTGGCTTTGGGCAAGTCACTGAGCCTCTCAGGCACCCGGTCTCCCCTTCTGTCAAATGAGCCTGTAAGGCTTCCATCCTAAGACGGCTGTGGGCATTAAACAAGATGGCAGGCGTGAAGCTGGGGAAAGTATTGGTTGGGTTGTTGTTCGTTGCCATCAGGTCGATTCTGACTCATGGCGACTCCATGTGTTACAGAGTAGAACTGCCCCATAGGGTTTTCTTGGCTATCATCTTAATGGAAGCAGATTGCCAGGCTTTTCTTCTGCAGTACCACCGGATGGTGGTTAGCAGTTGAACACAAGCCGTGTGCACCATACACACCCGGTATTTATTTTCTCTGCCGGCCTGTATGTACCGGGCCAGACAGAATCCCAGAAGTGCCTCTCCGAGAACTAATGCTGTTACTTGTTTTCCTTTCTGATTCAGGAGCTCACCATGTCCTCCCCCTCCCCTGAATCAGATCTAGACTTCGTGTATGATGAGGAGGCTGAAGCCTGCAATGAGGGGGACATTGTGGCCTTCGGGGCTCTCTTCCTGCCTATATTCTACTCCTTTGTCTTTGCCTTTGGCCTGGTGGGAAATTTGCTGGTGGTGTTTGCCCTTACCAACAGCCGGAAGCCCAAGAGCATCACCGACATCTATCTCCTGAACCTGGCCTTGTCCGACCTGCTCTTTGTAACCACCTTGCCTTTCTGGATTCACTATGTGGTCAGTAACCAAGGCTTCAGCAATGCTGTGTGCAAACTTATTACTGCCTTCTTCTTCATCGGATTGTTTGGGGGCATCTTCTTCATCACCATCATCAGCATCGATAGGTACCTGGCCATTGTCCTGGCCGCCAACTCCATGAGAAACCGGACCGTGCAGCACGGTGTCACCATCAGCCTGGGCGTCTGGGCAGCAGCCATTCTGGTGGCGGCGCCCCAGTTCATGTTTACAAAGCAGAAAGGAAGCGAATGCCTTGGCAGCTACCCCCAAGTCCTCCAGGACATCTGGCCAGTGCTCCGCAATGTGGAAGCCAATGTTCTCGGCTTCCTGCTCCCCCTGCTCATTATGAGTTACTGTTACTTCAGGATCATCTGGACGCTGTTTTCCTGCAAGAACCGCAAGAAAGCTAGAGCCATTAAACTGATCTTTCTGGTGGTTGTCATGTTTTTCCTCTTCTGGACGCCCTACAACGTCATGATTTTCCTGGAGACGCTCAAACTCTTCCGCTTCTTTTCCAGCTGTGACGTGAAGAAAGACCTGAGGTTGGCCCTCAGCGTGACCGAGACGGTTGCATTTGGCCACTGTTGCCTCAATCCCCTGATCTATGTGTTTGCTGGAGAAAAGTTCAGAAGATACCTGTACCACCTGTACAGGAAGTGCCTGGCCATCCTGTGTGGTGGTTCTGTCCACATCCATTTCTCCCCGTCGGAATCACAATCGAGCCGGCGGGAAAGTGTTCTGAGCAGCAATTCCCCTCACTACATGAGTGATGGAGACACCTCCATCCTTCTGTGAAGGGAATCCCAAAGCCAAGTCCTACGGAGAGCCTGAAGTTCCTGGGTCTGACACAGGATAACAAGGGCGGGTTTTGTTTGTTTTACGTGCAAGGAATGATGAACTCAATGCCCCAAAAAACAACCCTAGAATGTTTTTGGAGCCCTGGTGGCGCAGTGGTTAAGAGCTCAGCTGCTAACCAAAAGGTCAGCAGTTAGAATCCACCAGCCACTCCTTGGAAACCCTATGGGGCAGTTCTACTCTGCCCTATAGGGTCGCTATAGGGTCGCTATGAATCAGAATCGACTCAACAGCAATGGGTTTGGTTTTTTGGTTTTTAGACTGTTTCTGAGAATTGTGCTCAAAATTTGGATGATAAAGGGTAGACTTGTCTCTTACTACAAATGTCAGGGATTTTTTGTTCCCGAATGGCAAGAATTCAACCCAGAACAGCTTAGCTAGAAAGGGGGTGGTGAGTATTGTTGACATTGTGGAATGGGCAAGCAGGTGGCTGAGGCCTCAGAGTGGCTGGAAATCAGGGGTCAAGTCCAGCTAGAATTTCCTCTCTCTGACTCTCAAATCTCTGTAAGTTAGATCTTCCAGACTTACATATCACAGCTTTGTCATCAAAGAGGGACTGAAAATTTCAAGTTCTCATGAACTCCAGACTTCCTGGAGCCATGGAGATTGGATGAACCCCTGAAGCTGTTGCCCTGAGATAGTGTTTCAACCTTAAACCAAAACTATCCCCTGAAGTCTTCTCAAAACCAAACAATGGTTTAGCTTAACTAGCAAAGGATATCTGCTTTGAGCATTATGCTCTTTTAAGAGCTATCTATATGGGATCACATTCATAACAGCAACTCAGAAGATTAGATAGGAACCTTAGGGGCAGTGAGTTTATGTTAATGAAGGAGGAACAAATCAGAAAAGGAGGGTGAAAATGGTCACACAACTCGAAGAGTGTACTCACTGTCACTAAATGGTACATGTAGAAACTGTTGAATTGGTGTACGTTTTGCTGTGTATATGCTCAACAAAAACAACAAAATAAATAAAATTTAAAAAAGAAAGAAAGAAAGAAAGGACCGAGATCCATCCCTCTCTGGTCCCAAGGTCAAAATTCCCAAACTTTGGCTCTGATTGGCCGAGTTAGTTTCATGTGCCCATCCCTGGACCAGGCAGTGGTATCCCCAGAGAAGGGGTATATAAGATGTCAGCTGCCGTTCCAGTCTCATGGTTAGAGATGAAAGGAGACATGTTTCCAAGAAGCTGGAGGGGTGCATGCTATTCTGAGCAGACAGAGCAAGAGCTGTCCACCAACCTTACCATGGGCTTGGCCCCAGTCTCTCCCCTGACCACAGCAGCCTGCACGCACTGCCAACCACCTCATCATCAAGCCCCATTTTATCATGTCCCCAGACCAACAAGGGTTCCTCACTGCCCACTGCATCAAGTCCAAACTCAAATGCTTGGCTTCTGAGACCTTCCATCATGCAGTCCTACCAAGAGATTCCCACTGCTTTCCCTCTTCCCAAAGGACTCCACCCACCCTCTCAGCCAGTTCTCTTCCACACAGCCTCTTGTGTCTCCACCTGCTCCCAGACCCAAGAGGAGAAACAGAACCCCGGCCCAAAGGGAGAAGGGCTGGATTCCAGTCCCAACTCTGTCACTTGCCCACTGGGCAGCTTGGGGCCCAGCGAGCTTAAGACTTCCTCACCTGTAGATGGGATAATGGCGCCGCTCACATAGGGAGCATCGTTTCCCGCCTGGGGAGCCATCTACCCACTCTTACAGGTCCCAGCCCTCCTGTCTGTTTCCCAGAGTGCAGCTCTCCCCTGCTGGCACCACTTCACCCTGCCAAAGGCGTAGTGCTCGCAGAGCTTGGCGGAGCCTGCAGGCTCTGTGTTACGCTGCGTGATGGAGCCTAGGCACAGAGGGGCTGGCTTCTACAGTGCCGGTCAATGACCACTCCAGATCTACAGACACAGCCCCACCCTGCCAGACGGCCTCAGTCCCCTACCAGTCTCGAGAGAGCCCCCAACATTCATGCCTCTGCCAACCTGGAGACCCTGGGCCACAGGAGCAACTTCCTTTTTTCAGTAAACATTTGGGTTGGCCTAAAACTTTAAAGCTTGAAAAACAATTCTAATAATGCTGAAGAAAAGGTCGCTCACAAATCTAGCCGTGCAATATTTCCATTCCTGCACTTGCTGTCTATACCCTGGTCACACCCAGACGTGTTTAGAGTTGAATCATGATATAAACAGTTTTGTAATCTGCTTTTTTTTTTCCTCTTTACATTAGACCCCCAATACCTTTCTGTTTCTATGCAGTTTTGTAATTCTCACTGCAGACACTCTGAGATTGTGCACTCAGTGAAGGCAGAAGTGGTGGCTGACTCATTGCCATATTTTCTTTTCCCCATTGCCGTGTTTTCTGATACCTCCTTGACAGTTTATCTGTTCAATGACTGGGAGAGTGATGAGTCATGCTCCATCAAGATCATGTACCGTCATTGACTCACCATTGTTCTGTCTGTAAACATTTAACCTGCTTCCAAGGTTTAGCAAATACAGATGTTATAGCACTTCCGTCTATGTCACTTCCTTTCTCCAGTCCACCTGTTTCCTTTGGATGAATTCCTTGCCGTGGGGATAACTGGGTCAAAGGGCATGGAAGCTTCAGCCTCTGGTACACACACCTGAGATGAGTATGTCGTAAAACCTTCGTTGAGTGTGTACTGTCCGCAACATGTCAGCTGGGATCCAGAGCCGCTCCAAAGACGAGCAAGACCCGGGCCTTCGCCCTCAGTGACTTAACATTTAACTGCAGAGGAGCGGGGTGAACAAACAAGCACACTCGGCAGTAAGTGGTGGAGCGGGGCAGAGACATCTGACCTGGCATTCCAGGCCGAGTGAGCAGCACGTACAAGGGCTAGGAGACGTGCGAGAGTCTGAGCAGCTCATGGCGTGAAGAAAGGCTTGGGTGAGAGGCACCGGGAGCAGAGAGAGTGGTTTGATATGTTCAGCATCCCAGCAACAGGCAAGCCTCCACAGCCAGACAGGTAGTGGCTGCCCATGAGGGGCATTGGCTAGGATGTCCCCTCAAAATCAAACCAAACCATTGCCATCGAGTCAATTCCGACTCATAGAGACTCTACAGGACAGAGCAGAACTGCCACGTAGGGTATCCAAGGAACAGCTGGTGGATTCAAACTGCTGACCTTTTGGTGAGCAGCCGAGCTCCTAACCATTGCGCCCCCAGGGGTCCAGATGTCCCATTAGTGCCCTTGAAACTGGAGCGGTTTGTCTCAACCCAGAACATAATCTTCTTCTCCACTTGCGCCGGACTCCCCCGGCCCATTAGGGCAATTCTAGTTCTTGTAACACTGTTTCCTTAACTTGCTGAGTTGGCAACTATTTGGGGTCACCCAAGAGAAGACTGATCTGAGCTTGAGAGAAGTAGATCTTAGCAGATTTAGAAACATCCGGCTTCCCTCCATCCCCAGGAGGGCCAAGCCTTCTGGTGGAGGGTGTGCGGAATCCCTGGCTCTGTTGTAGGAGGGTGTGTCGCTAGGCAACAGCCCCTGCCAGACACACCCTGGACAGCTGAGGCAACTGCAAATATGCTTTGCAGGAAAATGGCTCTTTCACCCGCATTTCCTCATTTCTTCGGAACAAGCAAAAATTAAATTTTAATCTGCCCTTTTCTGAATACTAGATAAGATTGCTCAGCTTTCACTGTTTTATAGTCTTTCTATCGTTTTTCTGATTGTAAAAGAGACACACGGTCATCATGCTGTCCCTGTGTGCCATCGAGTCGGTTCCAAATCATAGCGACCCTATGTGACAGAATAGAACTGCCCTGTAGGGTTTTGTAGGCTGTAATCTTTACAGGAGCAGATTGCCAAGTCTTTTCTCCTGCAGAGCTGCTGGTGGGTTAGATCCGCCAACCTTTTGTTTAGCATCCGAGTGCTTAACCACTGCGCCACCAGGGCTCCTACAGTCATTACAGAAAATATGAACATAAAGAAATATATAAAAATTAAAATTATACAGTATTTCACTTCCAAGGGATAACCATTGTTTAATACTGAGAGAGTTTTCTACTCTTTCTCTGCATATATATATATTTTTTTTTTTTTTTAAGATTTGAGACCATAATATACATACAGGTTTATACGCTGTTTTCTTTTTCACTTACCTTTATAGCATGAACATTTTTCCATGTATTAAACTCAAACACGGCTTTTAATCACTGCATAGCACCCATAATAGACTTTATTTAGCCAAGCCTCTACTGATAGACACGGATGCTGCTCCCAGCTCTTCAATATTATGAATAATGCTGGAATGAACACAAATCTTTGTGTATATCTCTGACTCTATAAGAGAATTGCTGGGTCCGTGAATTTAAGCATTTGTGTGTCTCTTGCTAAAAAAAAACAGACACCATCAAGTCAACTCTGACTCATAGTGACCCCATGTGTGTTACAATAGAACTGAGTTCTGTAGGGTTTTCAATAGCAGATCTTTCCAAAGTAGATTGTCAGGGCTTTCTTCCGAGGCAACTCTGAGTGGGCTTGAACCTCCAATCTTTCAGTTAGCAGCCGAGCGCATTAACTGTTTGCACCACCCAGAGACTCCGTCTCTTGCTTACCAAAACAGAATTACTTCTCAGAGAGATGGCTCTGTGCTGCTGGCGCCCCAGGAATCCCGCTCCCTGGCTCCCCAGTGTTTTTGCTCAGGATCTTGACTTCCGTGACTGCAGAAAGTACCCGCTGCTGACTTCAAGAGGCAGAGCGGCAGAAAGGCAGCAAGGCTGCTCCTGAGTAAAAGAAAACAGGTTAAAGGCATTTAAAAAAAAAAAAGTTACTTTAAGGGAACAGAGCCTTCTTAGCCCCTGGGTTAAGGCGGACACAGGAGAGACCACCAGAGCCGCATAAAATCAGGAAAGAGAAGGGGGGATGTTTGTCCTGTGAGGACGGTGACTCGGGGGGAAGAGGCAGCCGCAAAGTCCTCATGGGGCTTGAATGTTTACTAAATGCACTTCTATTCAAGATGCAAACAATCTGCAAAATGAGAGAATTAACTCACATACACACACACAGACACACACCACTCATACACACACACACCACACATACACACACACACACACCTTCCTAGGGGCAAGAAGGGGGCCGGCTTTGAGGAGCGCAGTGGCCGTCAGGTATGACACCTGGAAGTGCGGATTTTCTGTCTGTAGATGAGTAAGGAGAAGACCAATGAGAGCCCAGGGGGCTTTTGAGAGAAGCCACAAGTCGATGGAGGGGTCAGGAAAGACCAGGCTGAAGAGGCTGGTGACTGCTTGGAAGAGCAGGGATCCTGGGGGCTCAGAGGGCCCTGCTGACAAGTGGACAAAGTTCACCAGGTCTCAGCAGACCCTTTCCCAAGCAGCCCTCACAGCTCAGACAAGCCACGGGCACACCCTCCTGGTCTGCAGCCACCACATCTTCAGAGACACATCCTTTCGCTTGTCTCCTTATCTCTCCTTGTCCCAGAGCTTCACTCTCTCCATTCCCCTCCCTTCCAGGTTCTTCCACTGGCTGACTTTGGTTCTAGGAAGAACAGGGCCTTTGTAGGCTGAGGCAGCCCTAGGCTGGAATCTCAGCCCCAGCGTTTTTCAGTGCAGACAGGATGCTCCATCTGAGCCCTCCTGGAACTCAGACTCCAGTGTCGCCTGGCCAGCAAGATAGTGCTTTCTGGG